AAAAAAAAAATCTTTTCTTTTTATATAATCGAAACGAATAAACATAGGAAACGTAGTGTTTTATCAATAAAAAAAAATCTTTCTATAAATTTTATTGATATATTAATGTCTTATACACATTGTCTTTTAGTAAACAAAATGATAAATCTCTATATTTAAGTTATCATACCTTTTTGTTTTAAGTAATTTTTACCGAGACGAATAAGCATACGAAACGTGGTATTTTGCTAATACAACAAAAAAATATATAAGATTTTTCTTTACATACTTTTATTGATATATAGATATCTTTTATAGATTTTCTTTAAGTAAATAAGATGATTAATCTCTATATTTACAATATCATATTTTTTGTTTTAAGTAATTTTTTATGGAGACGAATAAACAGGTATTTTGTTAACATAAATACACAACAATAAAATATATAAAAAATCTTTCTATACATAACTTTTGTTGATATATAGATATCTTGTACATATTGCCTTATAATAAAAATCTATATATATATATATGTTTACTGAAACGAACAAACATATGAAACGCGGTACTTTGCTGATACTACAGAAAAATATGCTGAAAAAACAACCAATATCAAAACAATGCTACACTCAAATACATGAAATATTTATATTCATATTCTAACTCCTGAATATCCAAAACTATATGATTTATTATAATAAGTAACATGTCGAATCAAATATTTTACAGAATATATGTACCTCTACAACAAAAACTCTATACTTAGTGGAAAGCTAAATCATGAAAGAAAAAGAGTTATATACACAATTTAAATGTAACAAAAAGCTTCTCCCTCTCTTTTTGTTCTTGAAGTTTTGCACAAGATCCATATGAAAAACAGGATTACAAAAGAGGAAGGAAACAAATAAAAGAATGATAGGCTTACATCTACTCAAATTATTCGTTTTGAAATGGATATTGCCATTTTTAAGCGAAGTTAGATTATTTTCCATTTTTGTTGTCGATAAACAAAAATATCCTTTTACTTTATTAAAGAAAATTAGCCACTACAAGTCTAAACCAAACCCTTTTTGCTTTTCTTTTTCAATAAACAAAGTATCGCATTACGTGAAACATAAGTCTCATAAGTGGCGTGATGCAGCCACACTAGTAAGATCCGTAACGCTAACCAATAAAATGACAGAAATACCCTCAACTGCTTAACCACTTTGACCTGTAAAGGCCAAAAGAAGCTCTTCTCATGGAGTGAGTATGGAGATTGAACATTCTTCAGTATTTGCTAACTCTGTTTTCTTTTTAAAACCCTAATTTTACAATAGAGACTCCATGGAAACATAAGCTAGAGAAATTACAAGAGAAATTAAAGAAACCTAAGGCTTTTGTTCTGTCTTTTAAGAGCATTGTCCCTTCTTGTCATTGCTGCTACTGTTCTTCCTCAGCTTCTCGTTCTCCTCACGCAACGCATTTATCTCCTCCTGAAGAATCTTTATCATCGTTTCTGCCTTCATCAAATCAAGTTTCAACGATTTGGTTGTTGTTGTAGAAGAAGAATCATGGTCGTGAGTGGTTTGGCTTGAGTTTACACTAGAGTTGCGTCTGCGTTTGTATTGTTTTGGAGGCAATGGAGCTTCCTTGTTGAGGACACAAAGAGGAAGAGCTTCTGTTACATATTTTCTCTTGTGTGACTCACTATCATCATCTTCCTCACTACTTGGGGCCTCGTTAAGGTCAATGAACTTCCACTGCGACTCGTTTGTTCCCTACACAAAACAGTTTACATGAGAATTTCAATAAAACTCAAGACAAAAGATGATGGTTTCATGGAACCGGTATCACTAAAAGCTCAGTATTCGATCCGTGTATTGATCGAATATTCGACCAATGGACTGGACTCAACCAAACAAGAACATCATTCAACACAAAGTTTTTCACAGCTTTTAAAGTTCAGGTATGCTACTAAAGAAAAGGGCGAGAACCGAGTTATGAAGAAGCACAAAACCTGGTGAGCCTCGTTGTTGTCATTGTCATCTACATCAATTGGAACATGATCTTCCATAGCCTTCACATTTTCTATATGGATGAGAGATTTTTCATCCCACTCTTCCCATTCTTCCTTCACGAACACGGCGTATCTGTTTCCACTAGGTGGTCCAATGTCATTCTTGCAGAACAATTTGCACAACACATACTCACCTTGCTTCTCCTATAAACAGAATTGACATAAAAAAAAAAGAATCAATACAAGAATCTTGAAACTATATATATGATCAAGTAGTTGAACAAATTATGTACGAGAAAAACAAAAGATAGATAATATTTCACATAGTACATAACCACAAATTCAAAAGAATCAACCAATACCTGAGGGTATTTATTATTTTCTGGTTCGGTTTCGACAAGGCGATACTCATGGATCACCCAATTGGTTCGTCGACCGTTTGGAGCACGTCCTTTGTGAAACACAAGAGTCTTTACCATACCGATCAACTCATCTCCTCCATGGACTTCCCTGTCTTTGCTAGTTGCTTTCCAATATCCTTCCTTTGTTTTCCGGCTCATTCTAGTATCCGTGTCGTACTTCTTATTTATGGCACTGAAGAAGTACCATTCGTTGTCCCTTGTCTTCAACTTCGAATACTCTGAAACAACAAAATCAATAAGACTTAATCAAAATTTGCATTTCATGGTTCACAAGTAACCAATTCCACAACACAAACTGCAAGAAATGCTTCAGACTCAAGTAAACATAAGAAGGGGTATGATATAACTCCTATTTGATGCATTACAGAGTCAATTTTGGATTGAGTTTTTCACAGCATACCCTAGTCCCTAGAATAGCAAAAACACAAGCCAAGTGTACTATGTGACAGAAATCCCAAGAACACATTGAGTTAATTAAACCCTTTCTCGTAGAGTTAAATCACTAAAAATCATCGTTCACACGAATATTAAGAACACG